TCTTTTGCATCATCTGCTGTAGTCACTAAGAATGGCAGCTTTGAATTTACAGAATTTAGCACTTGAACTCTATTTGCAGCAACCTGTCACACAAAAAGTTGGTTAATATAAATAATAAATAAAAAAAATTCAAACAACGGGCAAAAAAATGATGATCGGAGTCCAAACACCAATTGCTTGAAAACAGAGCACACTTCTTCACAGAATAACAAGCAAGAAACATAGAGAAGAATTGGAATTCAATAAATAAATACAGAATTTTCATATTAAAATAAAACCATTGAGCAACCAAATTATTGTCAATTCAACAGAAAAATGAGAATTTTCCTTAGTAATGATATATACCTCGATGAGGCCTGTTTTCATCTTCTTGTTGATTGACTCATTCGGCCTAGACCTGACAACACCTTCAATGGCAACCACGTACTCAAGCCTCAAGTCATTGATAGCAGAATGGGCATCTGGAAATTCATCCGGAAGGGTTGTAACCTGAAATTCAAGCTCAATTAGAATACACACCGAGTCCAATTACAAACAACAACAATAATAGTAAAGCAGTGAATGCAGGAAGAATACTAAGGGCAACAATAGTATGCATTAACACAAAAGCTTCTTTGAAATGAATGCGGATAAGAAAAACAACTATTTGCAACATCCAAGCACCTGAACAATGCCAGTGTGGTCTCTGAGATTAAGAAATGTAAGGCCACCATGGACCCTGTGAAGGGCAACCCACCCACAAAGCTGGACCTTTTTTCCCACATCATTCAAAGTCAATTCACCACAAAGTGCAGTCCTGTTGACCCACTCAAGGGATTCACTCAGGGCAAAAGGTGGTTTGGCATTAGAAGTGAGTGTTTCAGAAGTAGAAGGAGATGTTTGTGTTGAAGCAGAAACGGAGAACACGTTTCTTGTTCTGGAAAGTGTCAGTGGAATGGCGCTGGGAACTCTGCAGAGAAACGCCAAAGATGGCCTCGTGCGGATGGCCATCAAAGGCAAAGCTTTAAGGAAAAGAGACATTTTTTTTTTTTTCAGATAATGGATACCCAGTAACGAAATATCCTTAGAGGCCCCTTGAGTGTTCAGAAAGTGGACAAAATAATCGGATTTTGTAGAGGAAACAGATTGAAAAAACAAAACTAAAAGTAATGAATTGGTGAAGATTGGCGCTGAGAGGAAGACTTGCAGCTAGTGAGAATAATGGTTGGAAAATAGAATAATTGTAGAGAGCCCATTGGGCAGAAGATGAGAAACCAAAAAAGGAAGAACCAGTCCAGCAAGGTGCGGTGGGAAGGAAGGAGATAACAGATGAGAGATTCTTTTCCTGAAACGACGTAGTCTCATGAGGTCGATAAATGGCCAATGGGCAAGTATGTCAAATAATGGGCTCGTTAGGGCTGAATATATATAATGGGCCTGTATAACCAAACTATGACTATATACATCTTCTTTTTCTTTTTTCTATAAGTACACTTTCTTTAAAAAAATAATTAAATTTTTAAAATATTTTTAATTTTTGTTTTAAATTTTTTAATTTTACATCCATAATATTTAATTTATTATTTTTTTTTCACATATCTTTCTTCCTTTTTTAATTTTTACATGCACCCTCTTATTTCCCCTGAAGATTACGAGTGTACCCTCAGGCAGGTACAGGTGTGTTGATATTTTTGAAAATATTAATTTTTTTAATTGATATAGTATGTAACATATACGTGACATTAGTTATGACTCTTTTGGGTAGTCCTTTCTCTATCCTGTTACTCCATCACTTGCTCTTCCTTCTATGATATCTTCACCATTCACTCTTTTGACAATGATGTTGTAGAGGTTATGACGCTCTTTTCCCCGTTCAAGCTCACCTAATGTGTGTGATTCTCTGCAATGTAATATTTTTCGTTTTGATTCTTGTTGGTTGTTGTGCTTTGATTACTCATTAAGTTACTCATGATTGTTTTTTATCCATAAGAATTATAATAATGATAACAACATTCAAACTTATAACTTAGTGCATATTATTCCATGCATCATTAGGTTGTCGACCCTACTGACTACTCATTATTTAATGAGTAATGAGTGTGATTTAGTTAGTAACACATGTTAAGCTTAAAATTTGAGATTGAATTTTGTAAAAAAAAAAATCTTTGAAGGACAAAAAAACTTTGAGATTAGCCTCAACATAATTAGTCTCATAATTGACTTAAAGAGCTAAAATTTATATAGATATCTTCAAAATTTATTAGGAAAACAAAGGGTCTAATTATAATAATTAAAAAAAATTAATTTTTTTATATGTAGAATTACAATGATGATAGTATTTGAAATCAAGATATTGGATATATTATTTTAACTCCTCTATCGCTAAATCAATTTTAGTAGTTAAAAAAATGTAACTAATGAAATATTTATGTTATCATTATATTTATGTTTATATATTTAGTTAATTTTTTAAATTTATGATTATCGTACTATGTGAAATCTTTAATAATTTAATATAAACTTAAATAATTTGTTAGATCCATAATATTTAATTTATTATTTTTTTTTCACATATCTTTCTTCCTTTTTTAATTTTTACATGCACCCTCTTATTTTTCCTTCACCCCACCTATTTTAGTAGCATTTGAAAATTCACAGAATAACAAGCAAGAAACATAGAGAAGAATTGGAATTCAATAAATAAATACAGAATTTTCATATTAAAATAAAACCATTGAGCAACCAAATTATTGTCAATTCAACAGAAAAATGAGAATTTTCCTTAGTAATGATATATACCTCGATGAGGCCTGTTTTCATCTTCTTGTTGATTGACTCATTCGGCCTAGACCTGACAACACCTTCAATGGCAACCACGTACTCAAGCCTCAAGTCATTGATAGCAGAATGGGCATCTGGAAATTCATCCGGAAGGGTTGTAACCTGAAATTCAAGCTCAATTAGAATACACACCGAGTCCAATTACAAACAACAACAATAATAGTAAAGCAGTGAATGCAGGAAGAATACTAAGGGCAACAATAGTATGCATTAACACAAAAGCTTCTTTGAAATGAATGCGGATAAGAAAAACAACTATTTGCAACATCCAAGCACCTGAACAATGCCAGTGTGGTCTCTGAGATTAAGAAATGTAAGGCCACCATGGACCCTGTGAAGGGCAACCCACCCACAAAGCTGGACCTTTTTTCCCACATCATTCAAAGTCAATTCACCACAAAGTGCAGTCCTGTTGACCCACTCAAGGGATTCACTCAGGGCAAAAGGTGGTTTGGCATTAGAAGTGAGTGTTTCAGAAGTAGAAGGAGATGTTTGTGTTGAAGCAGAAACGGAGAACACGTTTCTTGTTCTGGAAAGTGTCAGTGGAATGGCGCTGGGAACTCTGCAGAGAAACGCCAAAGATGGCCTCGTGCGGATGGCCATCAAAGGCAAAGCTTTAAGGAAAAGAGACATTTTTTTTTTTTTCAGATAATGGATACCCAGTAACGAAATATCCTTAGAGGCCCCTTGAGTGTTCAGAAAGTGGACAAAATAATCGGATTTTGTAGAGGAAACAGATTGAAAAAACAAAACTAAAAGTAATGAATTGGTGAAGATTGGCGCTGAGAGGAAGACTTGCAGCTAGTGAGAATAATGGTTGGAAAATAGAATAATTGTAGAGAGCCCATTGGGCAGAAGATGAGAAACCAAAAAAGGAAGAACCAGTCCAGCAAGGTGCGGTGGGAAGGAAGGAGATAACAGATGAGAGATTCTTTTCCTGAAACGACGTAGTCTCATGAGGTCGATAAATGGCCAATGGGCAAGTATGTCAAATAATGGGCTCGTTAGGGCTGAATATATATAATGGGCCTGTATAACCAAACTATGACTATATACATCTTCTTTTTCTTTTTTCTATAAGTACACTTTCTTTAAAAAAATAATTAAATTTTTAAAATATTTTTAATTTTTGTTTTAAATTTTTTAATTTTACATCCATAATATTTAATTTATTATTTTTTTTTCACATATCTTTCTTCCTTTTTTAATTTTTACATGCACCCTCTTATTTTTCCTTCACCCCACCTATTTTAGTAGCATTTGAAAATTGAAAGAAAAAAAAAAAGTGTTATATATATATATATATATATTATTTTTTATATTTAATTTTTTTTAGTGAACCTGTTAAATATTGTTGAATAATTTACTTGTTAATCTTCATGTTAATAAAAATATTACATTAAAGTTAATAAATACTACATAACTGTTTCAATATGATATTTTTAAATATGTTGATAGTCATCTGAATAATTAAAATTAAATTTTTGAAAATTATAAGAATTCAAAACAATAATTTTATACTTGAGAAACTAGAAACAAATTTACCTTAAATTTAAAGTATTAAAAACAATTTTTAAACATTTAAATTGTTATTAAACTCATACGAGTATATATGAACAAAAAATAAATGATTTGAAGTCTTTTTTGAATTATAAAAAATTTGTTAAAAAACGTGTGTACGAAGAGAAATGAAATTCATGTTTGTTCTTTAAAAAAAAATGAAATTCATGATATGAACAATGAGATAAGAAAATGCTCCTCTTTGCTTAGCGGTTAAATTTTTTTATACTATATTGTATCACTTAAAATTGTTTAGTGAAACGACAAATTATAATCAACAAGAGTGCAGAGGTAAATCTTATTACTATAATTAATCTTAATTATCTAAACAAAGTATTTTCTTTAAAATAAAATTCATTTTCGCTCACGATGTTATGTTTTCACTGAGTCTTTTGATGGAAAAGTGTTTTTGCCTTTTGTAGTTGCGTGTGTGTGTCATTCAACTTTGCTTAAACTATTACACAGAGTGCGAAAGTAAAGTAATGTTTTTTTTATTTTTGGTGCAATAAAGTAATATATTTTATTAAATTATTAAGATACTAACGAGTTTTCTCAGCCTCATTCTCTTCCAAGTGAAACCTTTGACTTGAAATTTCTTTCTTAGACTCAGATTTGCTAGAGTTCACTTTATAAAATACTTGTCTAAAAGAAGCATTGCACACCCCTTTAATAGAGTAAGCAATTGAAAAAGAAGATTTGGAGTGAGTTAGGGATGCTTATAATTTATAAAAATAAAACAGTCTAAAAAAATTGTGTATAGAAAAATAAATAATCAATTATATAATAATAATAATAATAATAATAATAATAATAATAATAATAATAATAAATTGGGAGAGAAGAAAAGCAAGGCAATTCCGAATGAATAACTCATAATTCACTTTTTCAATACTTTAAATAATTTAAGTAATTATTCTAATTTAAATACTTGTATGTTGGATTCACTTTAAAATATTTTTAAATTTTTTATTAACAGAGAAACGTTATTAAAATAATTTTAATATATTATTTTGATTCCATTTTATTGTAAATATAAATTTTTTGAAAACCATAAAATGAAAATTTAACTTATTAAATATAATCCTAGATCTACATAATTTTTTGACTCTCAATACATTTTAATTAATATTAAATATTGAGCTGAAAATTATATTGTGAACATTTTATTTAGTAATTTTCGTCCTACTAAATTAGAAAAGAATTATGTAAATAGGCAAAAAAAAAGGATGAGAAAATGGGTTATAGAATGAACCTTATATATATAAATTTTTTATATCTTAGATGGTAAATAATATTAAGTTATTTATTATTTTATTCTAATATATATTATTATCAATTGAAAAATATAAATGTAAATGATAGGTCTCAATATTTTTTTTAATACTTTTTGAGCTTAATATATATGTATTGACAAAGTAAATTTGTCTTCTAAAAAAATTTAAACAATTAGTTATGTCGTCATTTCATTTAAATTAAAAAATTAATAGAAAACCAATTTTTTTTCTCTTTCGTGTCTTTTTTTTTCTTTCTAGAATTTATATTCTGAGTAACTTTTTTTTTTAATATGGGAGAGTGGGTGGGAGAGATTGACAAAAAAAAGGGGAATTAAGGTTTTGAGAGTGGGGACTAGGCAGAGGTAGGTGACGAAAGAATATGAGATGGTGAAACTTTAGTTTGAGCGAAATGTTAATAATATGAAACATGAAATTTTATTCTTCTCTTCCTTCTTTCTTTTTTAAGGTGCTTTGTGTGAGTGGAAAGTGAAAGGGACGGGGGTTCAATTTATACCATTTGTGGGCCTCATGGATTTTCTCTTCACTAATCTTGTTCAGACCCATCAGGCCATCACTTCCTCGACACTTGGTGCATGTTTGAATTGAATTTTCAAACTTGATTTTACAATCTCTTCACGTTGAAGATGAATTTTATGTGGAAGCAAAATTTTTTTACTTCAACTAAACGTGAAAATTCACGTTTGCATTGAAACCCAAACATGCAAAATCCCAAATGATTGCAAAGAAATCATAAAACTAGTGTAGCAAGACACTCCTATTAATACTTTTTTTTGTTTTGATTTTGGGGATGATACACCTCAGAATGACTTATTTTTTGGAGTGGGCTTTTAACACTAAAAACATGTTGATACATGTAGTGAGTTTCCGAGTGGTGCGTGTGAATTGAGCAAGGGTGGAGGCCAAAGAAAAAAGAAAAATATACATGGAAAGACCTTGGGATTATTGCCATGCTCACAAGTGTTTTATAACTTATATTTGTGTGTATTTATAACATGTTTAAACTATTTTATCCGCTGATTTTAAGTTCTCACTAATTTAGCAATAGGACTCACTAAATGGATTAAATGGGGAATGATATTTGATATATTTATTGACATTCAAAAGTATCATCTCAAATGGTTTACCTATTTCTAATTATTATAAATTATAAAACTATTATTTTAAATTGGATGATTGAAATTTTTTGAAATAAATTTACAATTATGTCCTTTCATTTACATTTTCTTTCTCCTTCATCATCGTCCACATCAAGCTTGCTTCTCTCGCAACGTCTTTCCCAACCCCTTCCTCCTCCCACTAGTATGTTTTATAATAGGCCAAATGTTAAAAGTTTAAAACTTTTAGACTCAAATTAGTTTTGGTTGAAGTGAACTTAAGTCAAACTAATTAAACTTTTCAATCTAAATTGTAATTGATTTCTTAGTTTGAGTTGGGTCGATTATATTTCCTTGATAACTTATATTCACTTGTACTCTTATCAAGACTTAAATATAATATATATGAGACGGTGACCAGTGTGGGAGACCTGCCCAATGCCCATATCCCCCAGCGTAGAAAACTAACATGGCCATCAAATTTATAGATTGAAAAATGAAAGGCTACAATTTTAAAAAAATGATAACGGAATACAATATTTTAAAAAAGTTGCACGTGTTGTGTTTAGGCTCACTATTCAGTTCGATGGTCACTGTTCTTTTTTGTGTTCTGAAGGACACACCACACACATGCTTTGGGACAAACAAGAGTTGAAGAGCAACACAACCCACTCAGCACCTGCCTCCGAACCAACATGGCCTTCAAGAGTGGTTGCACAGAAGCTCATGTTTAGATGAGAAAGAAATGAGAGAGTTCAACACAAAGTGTGACATGCTCATACAACACAACACCTGGACAGAAAAAACATTTATAAGTGAGAAGAATGGACAGAAAAATTAAGATAATTTTTTTATAATTTATAATTAGTTTATGTATGAATTAAAAATAACATTTTGAAGAAATTAATAAAAAAATTATACAAAATGATTCATATATAAGCTTATGGAGGCTTTTTGACCATTGTGAATAAGTTTTAAAAATATATTACCAAAACAAGGTTGTTTTGAGTTATATATGGGTGGTGTTACTATGAACTATAAAGACGTCTGTGTTACGTGTAAATAAATTTTTTTATAATTTTTTTCAATAAATATGACGCCAAAATTTTATGTGACTCTATTTGAAAATCGTTCAAATTAATAATGACACCAATTAAATCATTATTGGTTTCAACTATTTTTAAATTAACGTCGCGTGTAGGGTTGGGATCGCATGAAAAAGAAAATATCGTTATAACTTCTAGCGATCCAAATTTTTTCAATTTTCAATTTTAATTTTTATTATGTTGCTATTAACAACATGGACTTTGAAAATTTAAATATTTATTAAGCTATCTTTATTTTTCTATTTTTTTTTTATAAAAGTAGTCGCTATTGACCAAATTTTTTAAAAACAAATCTGTCTAATTTATTCTTTTGAAAATCTTTTATATTTTTTTAAAAATTAAAGTGATATAATTCTTTAAAAAGTTTTAGGTATATTTATTAAGCAAATCTTGAATATTTTCTTTACCATTTTTAATATATTATATTTATTTATCAGTTTTTTTTAAATAAATAGAAAATTTGGATGTTATTTTTAAATAAATCTGTCATAAATTTATTTAAAAAAGACTATATAAGGTCGCTATACTTTTTAAACAAACTAAAAAATATATGTTATTTTTTTTAAAATTTAAGGTATATTTTTAAACATATATTTTATACTTTTTGTAATTAAGTTATCTTTATTTATCATAATTTTTTAAATAAATTAAAATTTTGGTTGTATATTTTTAAATAAATTTGTTATAAATTAATTAAAAATAAATTTTTTATTCACCATAGCAATAAATGTTAAATCTTTTCCATTTTAAAAAAAAATTTAAGATATGTTTTTGAAAACTTTAAGATATCATTTTTAAACAAATCGATTATATTTTTAAAAAATAAAAATGATGTAAAAAAGGTGTTGCTTTAATCATAGTGACACCACCCGTACACAACTCCGAAGGAATAATTTTTTAGAAATAGTCCATTTTAGTAAATAATTTCAAAAATTGATCCACAATGGTAAAAAAGCAACTTAGAGAACTTTACTTGATTAGATCCTAAGTATTAATTATTTGAATTTTTTGTCTTTTTTAAATATTCTTTTTATATTTTTGATTTTGTAAGAAAAGTATTTCACTTTAATCTTTTATATCAATGGAAGAAAAAAAAAACTAAATTAAATATTTTTATAAAATTAGAATTTAAGAAGCTCGTGAATTACGTTGACCAATACTCACAATTTTAAAGACCAAAATAGGAATTTGGTACCTAATCTTCATTGAGAAAGCCCTTCTCAACAGTGGCTTGTTCCGAGGCATAAAATGCCGGCGTTTGAAGGCTAAGTCATTTGAATTCTCAAATTTGCCCCAAATAATGATTCCCTTTGACCTTCACTTGTTGCGTGTTGGACAGTCCCAGGGTCATTTTAGAGATGATGACAAAAAGTAACTGCTACTTTTGGGCATTCTCAACTCAACGACCCTTCTGTACTTCCACTTCCACTTCCACAGTATTAATTTTGATCACCTTGTTGGAACTACAATTTAAAAAGACTCAGCAACAACAACCCTTCAGAACAAACAATAAGATCACTTGCTCCCTTAAGAAAACAAGACAAAAGGTACTTCACATTTTTCTGTGTCTCAAGAATCTTGGTTAATCTTTTTCTTCTTCTCTTTCTTTTCTTTTTGCATCAATCATCATGGCCAAACTTGTTTTTTGGAATGGATTGTCAAGAAGTGTTGCTGGGCATCATTTTTTGGACTAGGAATTGTCCATAATGTAGATATTGCCTTGATAATTGACCTGGTTTGCGATTCTAATAGCATCTACCATGGAAGAAATACTTCCCCTCCCCTTTGTTTGAATGAATTGGGTGTACATTTTTTTGTTTGACTTTTTGGTTCTTAACAAGAGGTGGTTGGATTTGACGACTTTGGCTGAAACCAAAATGTAACGAACAGGGATTTTATGACAATCAATTGGCAAAATACCTTGGATTCTATCTCGAGTCATTATTAGTAGACTAGTTTTGGTGGTGCTTGTACATGCTTCTGTTTTCTTTCTGTAATTGGACTTGTTTTTAACTAATTATTTCTCTAATGTTTGTTAGTAGTTGGACTTGTTTCTGTAATTGTTGGATTTGTTTATCCTCTCTTGCTAGTTTTCAAGATTTAGTAGTAAGTTAACATTTCTGGAATTAATGCAAGAATCAACTTGCTAACATGTCCAATTGAACATCTTCAAGAATCCTCCGAATATTTATTTTGTGCATTGACAAAGATTCCGAATCATATGCAGAAGAATGGAGCATCAATCTTTTGGTGGAAGGGCCCAGAGACCAAAAGGAGCCAACATAAAGCAGGCATTGAAGGTGATACTAGTTTTGGCTGTTGGTGCTTGGCTGTTATATCAAATCAAGATATCAAGAAATAATGATACAGAGAACTATAACGAGCAAACCAAGCTTTACGGAGGATATGATTATGAAGCTATACTGCTGGGGCGTAAGGGAACCTCATCACGGTTAGTTGAAATAGCTTTTCCTGACTCAGGAAATGTAGATTCTGAACAAGCCAAGGAAGATAAGGCTGAAGAAGTGTTTGGACATATCAATGAGAAATTCAGCAGAAGAGAGGGAAAAGAAGTGGATCTTGAACCTGAAAGTCAACCTGAGGTATCAGCCGAAAAGAAAGACAAAGAGTCGTCCAAGACAAAATCTGGAAAGGTTGGTATAGAATCAAGGGAGCTAGGTCACAAAGAGCATGGCAATGAGAAATACCCAAAGAGACCAATAACAAATGATTCTGTACGTAATGACAAAGAAAAAGAAGTACAACACAGGGAACAACTAAATGATGTGCAGTTTAGAATGAATGCTATATCAGATTTCTCAGAAAAGGAGAATGATGGGGATGAAGCGCACAGAATTAGAGAAAAGGAAACCCGGGTGCAGAAAAATGTGGTGGAGAATGCCATAGATGCTGCAGTGAGAGAGGAAATAGATGGGCTCCAAAGCTTTCATGATGAAAATGGTGTCCCACCTGATGTTTTATAATACTGAAATAGTGTTTGGCCAGGCACACATCCTGCTTGAAGAAAACATTTCAAATGTTGCTAAAGGAAGGTGGCTTCAAACAAACATTTATGAAGTCACATCTGCAGAAGATAACACTGTTGAAGTGAATTTGGAAGCATCAAAGAACGATGCTGTTGAAGAAGTCAATACAGGAAGTATTACTCGTGTTGATACTTTAGGCATCAAACACAATCCAGAAATTGGTGAAGATAGGTAGTTTGGTTTTATAACATTATGTTTTTCATCATTGTAAACACGAGTTCATACATGCCAGATTTCATTACAAAAAGAATTGACAGAGCTAAAAGGAGTAAGCTCCTAGGCTATAGAGGATGTCTTTTTTCTTTAATTCATGACTATGTATGATGTAATTAAACATAGAGAATGTAACGTTGCAGATCTTTTCCTTGAAGAGTCACTAGCTGCACATATTGTTCCAGGTTTCGCTTAGCTATCCAGCTTTCTTTTTCTTGGATTTGAAAACCTGTATAGGTTAAGATCATTGTAATTGTTGTGATTTGTGAATGACACTTTTTCAGCTTTCTTTAAGCAGCTTAACCCTCATTGCAAATCCCGTGACAAGGTGTTCTGGTCCCAAGATTTCTAATATTATGAATGGAGAAAACACGTTTTGGCAGTTTTGTTTCTCTACGTAGGTGTACTCGATTCCTATTAGTTTAATCGTTACGTAGAAGTAGATTTTAGATATATATGGAGAGTACCTCAGACAGAAAACAACAAGACAATTCAGCATTGGCATGTCAATGTTATTAGATGATTGTTAATGGTAAGTCCTATAAATTGGTTCGCAGCTACAACACCAACCGTGATAACAAATAAAACCAAACACCAACCGTGATAAAAAATAAAACCAAGAATAGATCAAAATCAGATATGCTAACGCTATGATCGATGGTACTGGTTCGAATAACACCAATGGTTCGAATCTCCCACTAATATAACATTTATCGATTAAAAAAAAACAACTTTACTTTGAGGTAACAGGTGATGCTTTGTTCCTAAATCTTACCTTTTTTTTTTTTTTTGTCTGAACGACGTACTTCATAATGAGAATCACATTTGGAAGTTGCAATGCGTGGTTGGCTTGGCTGTAGTCTGTACTTAATCCTTAATAATTCAAAAAGCTGAGGAAAAGAACATAAAAAGAGAGCACTTTAATTGCATTCAGCTCAAAATTTGGCAGAGCTACACGCCCACACCTACCCAACAGTTGCCAGTCGTTAGTTAGATAGAGCACTACATTGATTGGGATTCTCTAAAAGGAGATCGATAACCCGTTATGCTATTATTACATGCAAAAATGTTTGTTCAACACCCGGATACATCCGTGTATATAGTCATGAGGGTAAAGAGAGAGAATTGGGAAGAGAGAAAAAAGGAAAATGTGATAGCTATAATGAGAAATGTAATGAAAAAAAGAGAGAAAAATAAATGTACAAATTACCAATGAAAAAAATCAGGACTGATCTGGGACCTTGTAAATTTCTTATTAGGCTCATGAACACCAGTTGGTGCAGATGTGGAGTCCACGTACCAGATTATGAGCTCTGATGCAAAAGCGCCAGGACCACGCATGCATAAGCAATAGCAGATGATGGTCTCTCCTATGGATCAACAATTTATAATGGTGGTCTCATGATTTTTTCTATTACAATTTTCTCTCCTCAGGTCATAGAAGTTAGAACTCCTAAAATATTGTCCAAATAAAAAAATAAAAAAATTGAGATTAAGAAAATAAAATTCAGCGCTCCAAAAACAGACAAGTATCACTTGTAAATTTAACAAGCCTACCAAGATTGTGAGCCAAGCAGTAGGTACATCGAAGAAAACTAAAAAGAAAATGACAAAGAAGAGACATCCAATTCCAGCTCAGAAATGATACACCCTCCGAAAAGTTTTGGACGAAAAATCCTTCGAATGCTTAAAACTTAAGAATAATAAAATTTAAAAAATATTTTATTTAAAATATTTTACAGATATAAATGATTGAATGGTTCGAAATACTAATTCGGACATAGCATTCCTCATTCCAGCTATATTTATCATATAGTAGATTTGACTCCTGATTCATTTTACAGAGAAAAAGTACTACCGTGATCGCTACGTCTTATGTGTCATGTCCGAACAAAAATGGGCCTTAAACTCCCAAAATGTAATTTGACACCTAGCAAGAAAGATAATAAAGAGAAAAACATATGAATTAAAAGTGATATAGTGTGATAAGAAGAGAAAGATAGGAAAAAACAATGATCATTAATAATTAGGTGTTTGAAAAAATGGAATATTCAAAAATCATTGCTTATGCCTGAATGTGGTATATGTATGCAAATATCACACACGGATAAGATTCTCAATCCTCAGTTACAATTACTAGATTTTATTCTTACCCCCTTGAAATCTTGAATTAAAAATAATATATACTGTAATTAACAACAGAGTTTACAGATAAAACTTTCCTTACTTTCTAGTAAGCTATCCATACCTAAACTTTGGTCATCCTCTCGCCAACTAGCCCACTAATGGAAACATCTGCTCATGGAGTATATATTACTGAAAAACAACATTTCAGTTTTCAAGTAAAATCGACACAAGCAGAACTATAAATGATTGTAAAATCCCCAATGATAAAATAAATTATTGTAGAATCTTCAATTGGAATTTGTTGTCAGGCTATAAGCAGGAACCTTAGCAAGTCTTCCTTCTTTCATTACCGATCTTATTCTCTCCACCTCCTTCCACAAGCCTCTATTGGCATAGATATTCGACAACACCACGTAAACACCATCATTCCAAGGTTCCAATTCTTGCAAATGCTTAGCTACCCACTCCGCCATGTCCACACTTGCATATTTTTCACAAGCACCCATCAAACACCCCCAGACCACCGAATTTGGCTTCATGGGCATTTCCTCCACCATTCTTCTGGCCTCTTCAAGCAATCCTGCTCGACCGAGAAGGTCCACCATGCATCCATAATGCTGCAATTGGGGCGTTATGCCATAAACATTCTTCATCATATCAAAATAAAATCTCCCTTCTTGAACTGCCCCTCCATGCACACAAGCACTAAGCACTCCAATAAAAGTCACATAATTCGGCCTCACCCCAGCCTCCCTCATCCGCCAGAAGCACTCAAGCGCTTCCTTTACATGTCCATGCATCCCATACCCCACAATCATCGACGTCCACGATGACACATTCCGTTCCTCCATCGTTGCGAAAACCTTGTAAGCCAGGTCCATCCTCCCACACTTGCCATACATATCAATCAGCGAATTCAACATCAAAATGTCAGTCCTCTCAGAACCTCTAGCATGGAAAACACATTTACTATGCAACTGTAGAGCCAGGTTGAGATCACCAATGTTTCCACAAGCCGAAGTGATGCTAACTATGGTAACACCATCCGGCATAAATCCACGCCTCCTCATATCGATAAAGACACGAATCGCATCCCTGGCGAGACCAGCCTGGGAAAACCCACCTATTACAGCATTCCAAGAACCCAACTTCGGGTCAGGATTTTCGTCAAACACCATACGCGCACTTCCAAATTCGCCAGCTTTGAAATACAAGCTTATAAAACCCGTTTCACAGTACTCATTACACTGCAGTCCAATCTTGATACCAACGGAATGAAGCTGTTTCCCAAGCTTAACATCAAAAACCTGGCACACGGCCTTGAGAACAATGGGAAGGGTGTAACAATCGGGCAAAACCCCATTCCGCAACATGAAAACATGGATCCGAAGTGCATCGCGTGGAGCCTCTAGCCTCGTGTAGGATCTTATAATATTGTTCCAGTTAAACGGCGCCGGATTGGATATCAAAAAATGCGTCCTTAAAACGTGACCATACACTCGGTTTAGCTCTCGCACTGTAGCGCAATTACACAAATGCGTAGCTACCAGATCGTTTCCAGAATAATCTAGAGCAGACCGAAACGCAGAGTTTTGGGTACAGAAACGACGACGAGTGAGGAATCGAAGTTGCAACAATCTCCGCATAGACATAATAATAGTACCGTGCTACTGCTACATCTACATGCTCCAATAACGAACGATAAGCGCGAAAGAAGAACGGGCCTGTATGTGGACCAATTAAAAAGTTAACGGGCCTGGGCCCAAATGGCCCGAAATGAAATTTATAATTTAATAAATAAAATAACAGAGAATTGGATTTGGAGTTACCTAGTTAGATTGCAGGGCCTGCAATGTGAGTTATTTGGTTGAAGCGGAAAGTGAAATCGTAAGTTGGAAGATGGAGGAGGAGGAGGGAACGGAATCAAAAACGGTTGCGGATCAGGACGAGGACGATTCTTCATCGACGCTTCTGGATCTCACGAGTTACCAGCTCCATGACCTAGACTCGGTCGAGTTGCCACCGACTCTCACCGAGTTGGACCTCACCGCGAATCGCTTGTCCACGCTGGACCCGCGCATAGGGAACCTCTCCCATCTGAAGAAGCTTTCGCTTCGTCAGAACCTAATCACCGACGCCGCCGTTCAGCCTCTCTCGTCCTGGAACGCCATCTCCGCTCTCGAGGTACTCTCGTTTATTACCGTTCTGTTTGGATGGATGCTAACGAATTGCTGAAAACTCGTTTTTTGTTTTCTGTACAGGAGCTCGTGCTGCGGGATAATCAATTAAAGAACATCCCTGACGTCAGCATATTCGAGAAGCTTCTGGTTTTCGATGTTTCGTTCAACGAGATTAGTTCGCTGCATGGCTTGTGCAGGGTCTCTGAAATCCTCAAGGAGCTCTACGTGTCCAAAAATGAAGTCACCAAGATTGAGGAGATCGAGCACTTCCATCAGCTGCAGATTCTTGAACTCGGCTCCAATAAATTGCGGGTTGGCTAGTGTTACGGCGTTAATTGACGGTGTGGTTTGTTATTTTCATGCAGTGTTTTGATGCTTTCGTCATGTGTGATTTAGGTGATGGAGAATTTGCAGACTCTCACGAATTTGCAGGAGCTGTGGCTCGGGCGTAATCGAATTAAAGTTGTGAATCTGTGTGGTCTCAAGTGCATCAAAAAAATTAGTTTGCAGAGCAATCGTCTCACTTCAATGACAGGATTTGAGGTATGCCCTCTGCCAACGGGGTTGCACTCAATTTGAATCCATATATTTGGACATGCTGATGAATGGGATGGTTTTTTTTGGGTTAAAGTTAAACTGTTCATTTGGGCACTATAGTTGTTCCAATTTAATGTGTTAGTTACCAACACTGGTTGTCGGGTAGTGACTTGTGTTTCTTAATCAAGTTGTCCAGGATCAAATCCTAGATTTGTGTACTAAGATTAAATGTTTTTAAAACATGGACCAAAAATGTTTATATTGTTGACTTTTATATATCTACTTTAATTTCTAAAAAAATTTACCATGACATTGCATAGAAAGTAATTTCAAAAGTTTAATAGCATCAAAATATTTTCTATGGTGTTCTTGACTTCTTGACAGACACCAAGCTTAGCTTTCTACGTATATCAGGGACTAAGTGAATAGTTTAACCTTTTTTTTTCCTATTGATTTGATTGATGGTTGATAATTTATTTTTGCTCTTTTTGGGCTACAGGGTTGCATAGCTCTAGAAGAACTATACATAAGCCATAATGGTATTACAAAAATGGAAGGGTTGTCTTCATTAATCAATCTCCGGATTTTGGATGTATCGTCAAATAAGTTAACTTCGGTGGATGACATTGTGAACCTTACACAGTATGTCTACTCAGTTTCAAGTCTGACGGATAATTTTGTATTGTCTTACATTGATAAATTCATTGTCTCATTTATTTTGTTGCAGATTGGAAGATTTGTGGCTTAATGACAACCAAATAGCATCACTCGAAGGAACTGCGGAGGCTGTTGGTTCGAGAGAAAAGCTTACCACCATCTACCTAGAAAATAACCCATGTGTACGGTTATATTTATTATTATAGCCTTACATTTTTTTTATCCTTAACTACTTGACTATTGGACTATATGTTGTTGTTTGTAATATACTGTGAGTGCTATTTCTTTTTTAGTGCCTTTTTCACTAGTTTCAACTATCATATAATATTGTTAGAGAATTTGTTGTACAACATGTAGTTTCAATTAGAGCAAATTAGCGCCCATTAAGTGACCTTTGCTGCTCAGGTGGTCCTACCTGGCTCGAATAGGATTTTACTTCCAGTGGAGAATACATGTGATTTAGACAAAAAAATAATAATAATATTAGCGCCCATTACCATTATGAACAAGGAACACATTTTTATAGCACAGATTATTCGTGTGACCGTAGTTTTACACAATTCAATGTAACATTTCTTCTCTATTCCATTTGTGGCTTTGACCTGAGAAGTAAATGAAGTCTTTGTAAAAGTGTCATTTTTTTGTTGGACTGTTAATTTTTATTTTTGAATTTAATTGGTTTCTAGGAAGAAATTTCCTTTGATATTTATATATATATACTCCATGTTATTCATTGTCTGATGTTTCTTCTTTAGGATATCTAAGTTGTACCATGTATTTCATTGGAAACTGATACTGTTTGTTTCTTGCAGGCCAAGACACCCAACTATACTGCAACCCTGAGGGAAATCTTCCCCAACATCCAACAGATTGATTCTCATGTATTTTCTTAGAAGTTTTTTGGCTTCAGCCTTCTTAAAAACAGTTGCCTTGAAGCTTTGTCTTTACAAATTCATTGGTAAGTTTTATTTTGTTCTCTGTATGCTTCATTCTTGGTAGCTATGTTATAGATTGCATTTTCATTAATTTCTGTGAAGCCTATCATACTTGCAGATTCTGGTTTGAAAGATTGATGATTTGGCTCCATTCAGCTAATGAAGAGTATGTTTATCAACCATTGCACGATATTGGGGTCTGATCATTAGTAACCTGACCAATGAATATGCTTGCTATATTTTCCTTGCTTTGCATATCTTATGTCGTTTTTTTTTTGGCAACTAATTTTTGAGAGGTACTGTAACGCTTTACCGGGTTAATTATATTTTCATTTGTGGTATACGGAGGGTGTAGTTTACTGCCTATAACTTCCATATAAGATAGCTCTACAATTCTTGCAAGACTTTCCTTCCCGAATATTCTTCCGCTGGATGGTTATTAGAATTTGTTGTAGATTAATGGATATTTGAATTGAAAGTCATAAAATGCAAGTCATCTAAAATGGATGGGTTGATAAATGTTTAGAGGTTCATTGAAATTTGTTTTACTGATTTCTTAACAAGTTAATATTTATCATCCTTAACATCCATATTACTTAACTCTACAATTCTCTTGGAGACTCTCCTGAATGTTCTCTTGCAAGATGCTAGATAAATAGTTGTGGGAGAATGTTCTGCATTTTTGGTCGAGTAACTCTACATAATATAAAACAAAAAACACAATTAAATAGAGGCAATATATCATTCTCAATTATTTGATGAACTTCATTATTAAAATAAACGATGTTTATAAACATGAGACTAATCATGTTAAATAAGAAAATGAACCTTAGTTTAGGGGTTGAAACAATATGTACTATGTTATTGTAATTTTTTTATTGATAAAAGATATTAAATAAAAAAAAAGTGAGAAGACATGTTACCATGAAAAATATCTTCTTTAAAACATTTTTATATGATTAACAATAAAACTTTATGTTGGAATATTTAAATTAATTTAGCAACTTTATGTTTAGGGATCAAATTTGGTTTTTAAATAGGGAATACAAAGGTCGAATTATTAGTGCTAAAGATTTTTTTTTGTTTATAACAGTTTTATTTTATTGTTGTTCATCTAAAGTTATTATACAACAAATATTTTAGGTCGTGCATTATTTATAATAAATTCTTATTTTATACAATTAAAATTTATAATAAGAATATTTTTAATATACAAATTGTATTATAAATTAAAGTTGTCATAAATAAATATTTTAAATATATATGTTATGTTTTAAATTTAAAATAAACAACTAAATTATTATATAAAGTTATTTTTAATTATTTGAAATCTCTTTAAAAATAAATATTGAAAATCATTTTAAATATAAAAATAAAAGATAATATATTGAAACACATAAATAAAAAGTGAAAACTTGAAAGCAAATATACATATAAGTATAAAAGAATGGTAATTTGTCATGATTGATAAATTTTTTGACTTGTTGCATGGTAGTATATGAAATGTACATTAAAAATTGTATATTCTAATTTATAATAAAATAGTATTTTAGCATAAGATATGATGAATATATATATATATATATA